GGGGCGGGGCGGGGCGGGGCGGTGGGGGGTGTCCCGTCCCGAAGCGCCCCGAACCCGTCCCGTGAAGAATAAAAAAAATAATTAACTACAAATTAAAAACAAAAAATAGTTAATTGGAAGTTTTTGAAATAAATAAATAAACGGGGCAGGAAACAAGACAAGTCCGTACCTCAAACCCGCGCCGCCCCGTCTAAGGTGGGGCGGGGCGCGGGGTGGGATGGGGTGGGGGAGTGGCAGGGTGGGTGGGGCTGGGGTGCCCCGCCCCGAACCAACCCCCATTGCCATCTCTACATTCAGCAATCCCATTTTGTTGAGGAGTTTCGACGCAAGAACTTTGATGGATTATCCCATGTTTTTGAAGGTAATCTCCCAGAGTTTTGTTGAAATATTCTGTGCCATTGTTTGTGTGCAGAATTTGAATATGTGTTTGAAATTGTGTTTGTATCATAGAGTGAAAATTGATAAACACGAACCGAACATCGGATTTTTCTTTTAACAGGTAAATCAAACAAATCCGAGTATGGTCGTCAATGAATGTAACAAACCACCTCGAGTGAGTCCGATTAGGAATTCTTGAAGGACCCCATACATCTCTATGAATAATGGTGAATGGTTTTGATGGTTTATATGTGGATTTTAGGGACGACGTTCTTTGATGATGTTTTGCAAGTTCACAAAATTCACATCGAAAATTAACAAGAGAGTTTTTTTTATTCAAGAAAATGGTAGAAAAAACACATTTCAAATATTGAAAATTAGAGTGTTCCATTCTAAAATGCCATAACATAATTTCACTATCATTAAAGACAGATGCAGAATCACAAATTGCAGTTTGACTCTGCTTCCTCATATCAATCTCATCAAAGTAGTAGAGTCCCTCACACTCATAGATAGCAAATTACTGGATAAATTTGAGTTTTTTTTCAACCGACTTATAGATAGCAAATTACTGGATAAATTAGAAACATGATGGATGAATTCTAAAGTTAGAGTCAGTGATTTGAATACTCCCTTTTTCCTCGACAGATGAGAGCAAACCATCTGTAATTTTAGCTTTGAGATTACCTGCACTGTTGAATATGAGGAAAAAAGATGGTGGGAGCTTGTCATGCGATCAAATACTCCTGAATCAATAATCCATGGAGTTTTAAATTGAGTGGCAGCTTTTAAAGCTCTTAAAAAATTATCTCTGTAAGTTAACGAACTTGATGGACCATTTGGAGAAGATTGACGAGATGTTTGAAGACTGAAAATATTTTGTAGAGTTGCTCTATCTGTTCAAGATTGAATGCACTGTTTGAGGTAGGATTTTGATGGTCGATTGTGGCTTGGTAGCCACGGTTTTTATTATTTTGCCTTGGTTTTCAATGCAAATCCCAGCACGTATCTTCTTTGTGCCATGGTTTACGACAATGATCGCACCAAGGTCGCCCCTTTTGTTGTCTTGTACCCGGCCATTTATTGCACCCCTCGAATATAAGACCATAATTCTTGGCCCATTACTAAAATTCACGGCCCGTCCATTTCTTGCAGTGTATCCTAAATTTCGTGGCCTTGTTTTAGACATATAACACTGTTTAGGCCCAATTTTAGGAAGCCCATTATCCTTTATCATTAAGGCCAACACCTCCTCTTCAAGAGGCCCAATTTTTTCGGAGTTCAGCATCACTTTCCTTCGATTTTCTTCACGGCGAACTTTTGCGAGCACCTCCTGCGTCGAAGGCAAAGGTTTCCGGCCAAGAATTCTTCCTCTGACTTAATCTAGGTCACGATGGAGTCCGGCCAAGAATTCATAAAAACCCTTTCGCTCTCTAATTTTTTCTTGTAGCGTGCACAATCACCTGGGCAGTCCCATTTTTCTTCCATACTCAAATCGAGATCTTGCCACAGTGCCACCATTTCCATGTAGTAGTCGGTGACCTCCATATTACCTTCCTTCATTTGCCACAGTTTTGACTTGATTTCAAAGATTGGGGTGGTGTTCTCAGAATCAGAATAAGTCTCTCGAACGACATCCTAAATAGCTTTTACCGTTGGTAGATTACGTTTTCCCGATTGAGGGTTTCATGGAGTTTACCGGCCACGCCATCACCACGGAGTTTTATGACTTGCACCTTTGCAAGCGGGCAATGTCGGTTGAGCTAGGCTTCTTCTCTTCACCAGTCAGATCGATCACTAGTTTGATAGATTGGCCCATTCTCTAAAGTTTCCCGTTTAATTTCTCCACCGTGAGTTGGAATGATGAGTTGTTGATTCCTCCGTAACCCATTGTGGGGATGTCTTCTGTTTCACCATCGTGAGATTAAGAGGTAATTGACCCCTTACTAATGTCGTCAGTTTTTGCCATTAGACTAAGGCATGGCCTGGCTCTGATATCATGTAAAACGGAGGAAACTTCTCTATATTTTTTAATAAATATTACAACCTAATTATGCACTTCTATAGTACAAGAATGAGAGTAAAAAAGGAAAAAACAAATTACTTAAAATCTTCAAAGAAATCTCCTAAAATCAATATCCTAATTCCAACGTCTAAACATACACTGTTAATTATGGGAGGTGAAATATTTATTATAATTTCGAGATTTCAACATAATTATTGTTGGGAAGAAAAGTTATTGACCACATGCCAAGGGAAAATGTGACTTTTACTATATCGCTGAATATTAGATATTGGAGAGTAACCAAATATCCACTTGCTCGGTCCATTTATTGGTGAAATCTTGCACGATTTAAATTACTTATTTGTGATGCAAATAAAAAAGTTACTAAGATTGCTTTTGAGCTTCAACATTTAGAAATAACTTGATATGATTAAATGAAAACCACATATTTGTACACGCAACCCGGGTTTTTCATGTTAGGCTGCAGTTGTCACATGGTGCTAAAGGAACTACCAAGGGACTTAACAAGAAAATCGGGCTGAAGTAGAAAGAAATTGTACTTCGCTGACACGTCTGTTTGATGGATAAACTTTATAAAGAGAGTAGTAGACGTAGTAGTAGTCAGTCATTGAAATTTATGTAAAATTATGATTTCCTCCATATGCCTGCAATTTTTGTGGCACAATCTTTGCTGGATTTTATTCCTGCGGGATGGTTTGAAATAATAGGTGTTACACAAAAATGCAGGACAGATTAGTTACCTTTTTTTTTCCTTTGGTTAAAGGGAAGGGGCAAATTTGTTTATTTACATCATAAAATAATAGTTATGTTTTAGAGCTTGTGTCGTGTTCATATACTTGGAGTATTAATATTCCTTTTGTTTCCTCAGGTGTACGTTCATAGCAAGATCTTGATAATCGATGACCATACAACTTTGATTGGCTCAGCCAATATCAATGACAGAAGTTTACTTGGATCTAGAGATTCTGAGGTATGCCCAAAATTTTAACTGAACTGCTTAAGAGTGTGTTTGGGAGAAATTTAATTTCTCCCAAACAGGGCCTAAATTAATATTTCGGCATGGCTAGCTTGTATCATATGGCATAGCTACTTTCTGATTGTCGCATGGATGTAATTTTTACAGATCGGTGTGCTTATTGAGGACAAAGAATTGGTTGAGTCTTGCATGGGAGGCAAGTCATGGAAAGCTGGAAAATTTGCATTGAGTCTTCGCCTTTCATTATGGTCCGAGCACCTTGGTCTCCATGCAAGAGAGGTTGTCTGGAATACCCTGCTTTTATTACTGCAAAGACAAATTTAATAGGAATGAGATTTGTAAAATAAATAATTTTTTCTTTATGATCTAACTAGCTAATTTTTGCCCTTATAGGTTGATCAAATAAGAGACCCGGTGATTGATTCGACCTACAAGGATATATGGATGGCTACTGCAAAGGTGAGAATTGTACAATGCTGCTACAATATTAAACTTCTGGTTCTTTTGCTAGAAATAGGTCTAGCCAAAAACTTCATTTGAATATTTTACTTTTTTCTTTTTGAGCATGGCTAGACTTGAAAAAGTTACTTGTACGTTAATTTACTTTGGGAAAGCCATAATGCTTAAAACATATGATTTCACATTATATTGCATGTGATTGAGTCTTCACCTTTTCGAATATTGATTGACAGACAAATACGATGATCTACCAAGACGTTTTCTCTTGTATACCAAACGATCTCATACATACAAGGTACAACACAATCCTTAAATTTCTTTTCCCATTAACATTCCAGTAGTTAAACTTGTGTGATTGCATCCAGGGCTTCACTCCGACAATGTATGGCATTCTGGAGAGAGAAACTCGGCCATACTACCATTGATTTAGGAATAACCCTGAATAAGTTAGAATCGTACGAAGATGGAGACGTTAAATGCACGGATCCCATGGAGAGATTAGAGTCTGTGAAAGGACATCTTGTTTCTTTCCCATTGGATTTCATGTCCAAAGAAGATTTAAGACCTGTATTTAATGAAAGTGAGTACTATGCCTCACCTCAAGTGTTTCATTAAGTATCAATTTTGGATTGAGAAAAGGACACAGCATTGTGAACAGCTGAGTGTATTTTTCAAGGGACAGTCCCGGTCGAAGAAAATAGTTACATGTTCTATGGTTGTTGGGGAAGGTTGTATATGTTAATTTGGTGTACAAAGTCGTGAAGACCAAACAAGAAGCGACAATAAGCAATCATTCTTAGGAGTGGTTCCTTGTTCGAATCTATCCCATATATTCTCTTTGCATCAAGAAGTCATTTCTTGGACAATTTAATACGATACTACACGCCCCTCTTCTTTATTTTGTACAATGTGACTAATCTAGTGTACCGTGTATACATATTTTCTTTTCGAGACGATCCAGGTGGTGGCTTTAATCAAATTCTTGTAGCTTCAGTCACAGCATCAAATCCTGCAGACCTATAACTTTTATGAGCAGCAATTTTCTTGTTTTATTTTATATAATAACCAGTAGGGCTATTAATCGTTTACCCATATGATAATAAGCCCTTGTTTGAGCCATATTATTTTTATCATTCTCATTATTGTACTCATTTTCAACTACACATTCTTCAATAAAATAATATTTTTCATCACATCAATAAATTTTCCTTCTTTTTCAACCACATATTTCCCCATCACATCAACAGTAAAAATGCACTTACTCCCAAAATGTGCACCAAACAGGGGCTAAGTAAAACGTCGTATTAAAGTTCATCCAGCTACTCAAGTAGCTTTCCCGTCCCCACGTGTCACGGGCTGCAGCTTTACTGAAGTCCCGTGACCCTATCGCAGCCGCAATTTGTTCAACTTCGGCTGCACATTGTAAATATTTCATTTAATTGTAAAATAGTTGGAAATTAGAAAAGTTTAGTATGATTTCTCGACTTTTTAACGTCTACTCCCGTTATATGGGTTTTTGTTGCTAAGTCTATTATAGGGGGTATTAGTTTTCAAACATCTTTCAAGCTTTTTAGTGTTCACCCCCTGCATTAGCCATTGTAATTTCATGCTTTCGTCTATTGTAATGTTCAGTTTTCAAACAATCAATAATCAAGTTTATTTCAATGCATTTCAATTTCATGTTGTGAGCTTTCTTTAAATTGTGATCAAATCTACTTTCGTCCCGAAACGATCGAGAGAAGGCGGAATGTAGTTTANCTTCCTTAAACGACCGAGAGAAGGAGGAAGGTAGTTTAGTGGAGCAGACTATTGCAGCACGATATTCCTTTCTGTGCTAAGAAGAAAGGTAACCCGTGAAACCACATGTGACTCAAGAGGCCCTCCTACCCAATGGTGCAAAGGGGAGTAACTGTCTCTGCAACATTTTCAATTTTTTATTTTTAATTTACGTTGAGATTTTGAATTTTTTTTAATATATTTTGCTTCGTCACTTCACCTATTTGAAATTCTTGGCTCCCTTCACTTCTAAAGTATGTCCGACATCAAATTTCTGCACACAAACTCCATTAAAACATTAACTTCATATAATTAGAATACGAGGATCATATGACTACTTAAAACAAATTTGAACAGTTATTGGTAACTATAACAAAACTTTAAGGATCAACTTGCTACTTAGAGCTATAGGTTGAGGACGGGTGAAGACATTTTCAAAGATATTGATGCGTTCATACAACTCGCATATATGGTCGACCCACAAACAGAAGCTTTCATCCTCCACCTAAAGGCACCTCTTATGTATAAATTTTGTGTATGTATTGATTAGGGTTTAACATTTGATGCGCATTTTCCATGTCTAAATTAATTTCAGGTATCTTTGATTCGCTCAATTTCAAGAAAAGAAGAATGCTTTTTCTTGAATTTTTTACTTCTGTGGAATGACACTGTTCAATGCATCACCTTTTGAGATTGGTTCAGTGTCTTTTACTGTATTTTGGGTTTTAATTTATTTATATTTTTCAGGATAAGAAGAAAAAATTTGCACCAGTTTTTATATTTGTAGGGTTCCATAAAATGGCTGCATCAGCAATAAGCTCTGGTGCATTGGTAATGTTAGAAGAATTGAATCCCTCTTCACCACACTTCAAGCAAGGGGCTTCGATTCGGGTAACTGGAAAGTACGTTGTTTTCTAATTTTATCTGTAATGGGTCAATTTATTGCTTTGTCTGTTTTTACCTTCATTGATAGTAAATTAGCAGTGATTCATATGTTGGAAAATGAAAGATACGATGCCTAGATTTTTTTGGTTTGTTCTGTGTTGAAACATTAAGGCTCTGTTCTATTGAAGGAAAAGCAAGGGGGTAATTCGAGCATGTATTGCTTTTTCTAAGATAAAAATGTTCTCATAAGTTATAAATAAATAAGTTTTTTTCTCTTATTGATGACAATTAGAAATAAGTAACTTATTTTACTGAAAGTACGACAAAAAATAGCTTATCTAAACATATTTGGAAACCATTTTTTTATTAAGCTTAGCCAAGCATATTGCTAGTTATTTATATTGTACAAAATGGAGAGGTACCAATTATCAATATAATGCACCATGGGTACAAGTTATTAAAGCATTTCCCTCCCTCTTCATCTACTTATCCGAATACTGAAATTATAAATTCTTCTTCCCTTACTTTGCTGAATATGATCCTCCAAATGAATGGAGCCTAAACAGCTAAATTGGCTAAAGCTTTGGGTCATAATTATTACTAAGAACCCCCATGCCCCTATGATCTTTTATATAATTTTCCTATAGTAATTCTAGCTACTATTGCATGTAATGTAGGCTTAGCGGTTCTAAAACCATCAATGATTGGTGAACCGATAGATCCATTTGCAACCCTTTTGAAAATATTGCCGGAATGGTATTTCTTTCCTGTATTTCAAATATTTCGTGCAATGCCCAATAATTATTGGGTGTTCTTTGAATGGTTTCAGTACCTGCATGATTATTAAAAAAATCACTAATTTGAATGTACAAAATTTAAGTCTGCATTGTGCCAAACTGGTTGCACCATCTGCAAGGAAGACGAGGAATGGGATATAGTAAGATGTATAATTACATGATAAATGTGAATATATTCGTTGAATGGCATTTCGTATGTAAACACATGGGAGTCAATAGGTAGTGTTTATCCCCCAAAGTGTAGTTACCTGTGATCATGTGTATTAGGAGCATTTTCATTGCATGTAAAAGGAAGGAAAACTGCGTTGGTTTAGTTCAAATTGTCTTTTACATGTTTCTTTTCTTTCTTTTTTTCCTTCCCCCTTTTTTTCCCCCAATTTTCATGGAATTTGCCACTAGCTGAATGATAAGCATGCATAAGCTACTTGGGAATGCTTGGTTTCAATATTGTACAAGTTTGGGAAGCTGATTATCCTTTTGCGCATTTTAGGCTCCAGGAGTTTAATGTGGAAGAAGCAGTGGCTGTACTTGTTGATGGAAGTGCTACCTTGAGAGTCGATACACAGCACTTGAACCTCAGTCTTCGAATGGGTTCTATCTATCAATTCATTGGAGAACTACAGATTGATGCCAGCAATGAGGTACAAGAATTGCATTATATTTGCGATAAAATTGATTGTGCACCTAGCTCATGAATGCACTAGCCTCTTTTATTAGCTGATGGCATGTCCCTCAGACCCTTTTAGATCCCCTTGTAGCAGCATGTGTAGGCAGCTTGTTTTAGGGTATTGTTCTAGTATGTGCATCTCGTGTTTTTTCGAAAAAATAAAAATCTGTGTCCTATTCTTGTTTCAGGCAATTCTGAAAGCACGCGTAGGTAGGAATGTAGATGGCATGGACCTTAATCTCTACCGTCAGTCACTGCAGCTCTTGAGGGATTTTCAAGCTGATCAAAATAATAGTCTTTCAACTTAGAACATTATGTGCTACTGGCAAGGGAACTCAGGAATTTGGGTTGTTCCATTTTCTCCGAAATATGTAATTAAATTCTAGTTCAAGTGAAATGGTAATTTTAGTTCATGAGTTAATGCTAAGAATGTTTTTTCCTTTATTGTTTTATGATTACATTCGGACTTCTTAGCAAACGAGGATCGTAACAATAGCAAAATGTCATGTTGATTAAAAATTCATCAACAAAGCTTGTTTGGATATGTTTTGACAAGATTTTTGAAAAGTCAAAAGTTGATTATGACCGATGTTACATATCTAGGGGCTTGATTGTTTCGGATTAAAATCAGATTTTAATCTAAGTCAAAATCAAACAATTAATATTAACATCATCTTTCACGGTCTCACAATTTTTCAACCACACATTTCAAAAACTTCTATCGCAATCTACTAAAAATCTAATTTTAATCTCCATCAAACACTCACCTAATAAGAAACAGGCAAATAGGCCAGCAGTCAATCAGTTATATGATCAAAGAGTAGTGAAATGTATTCTATAAATATTCACAGAACCATCAAGCAATCCCCTTTTAACTTGAAATCTACACAATAGAATCCCCACTCATCACGAGTCAAAGAAAAATGTGTCAAATCCGGCATAGTCGGTGTATTTTTGCTCCATTTTGAGCTCGTTACGTTAATATTTCGTTACCAACTTCTTCTTTTCCCAGTTGTATGATCAATTGTTCCATCACTTTCTTGTACATAGGCATGTAATGATCATTTATCATTGTCCTTGACAATCGGAGCTTACTGTACAATTCTCGTGGCGTCTCATAGATACCAACTTGCTCGTCTACTGAACTGTTGAGACTCGAATTGCTTGCCTCAGATAAAAGTATAGAAACCATATGCATTGTCTTACCTGGAGGATAGAAATGTAGATTCTCTGAAACGTCCGAGGAAGAAATGGGTGTTCGACTTTCGACTGCATCAGACAGTACCTTCTCCTCTTCGGTAATTTCCTCCACTGCAGCTTCTTCTTCTTCCTCCTGTATATGGATATCTACCTCCTCCTCCTGCCTCTGGAGCTCCTTCTCGATTTCATACCACAACTCGCCTTCTGTAATATTCTCCATAGTTGATGTAGCGACTGCTTTATCTGCGTGGAGATCATCATCGTCATCAGTCTCTTCTATGCCCGATTGATCAGACGACGAATAATATTCTGCCTTGTTTGTGTACAGGTCTCTGCTTATATCCTCACTCGCCGTAGATTCCGATGTCTCGGGAAAAAGAGGGGTAGCCTCGGGCAAATCAGATGAAGGAACCACAGCACGACGGCGGGGTCCCATACATGACCATGATGATATGGAAGAGCGAGTCCTAACAACTGCTTGAGCAACATCTTGTGCACGCTTCATCATGTCCTGTATTCCACCGAACAGATGTCACCTTCCATGGTACGAAAACACAGGAGTTTTTTTAATTTTATATCTGAATAACAATAAAAACATAATGACCAATATACAATAAATAAGCATAGCTTCGACCAATTAATGAAAGCGACTCATCATTGAATTCAGTTAGCAGGGAAGAAACTAGCATGTCTCCTGAATGAATAAGAGAACGTCTGCTAAGCTTAAAGGTAAACAGAAGTTGCTTTTCAAGTGATTTCCAAACAGGGGTGATTTACTTTCTTATTACTTCTAGTATAAAAATGCTGTTACTTAATTTTCAAAATAGTTCTTACCTTACTATAAATTAACTAACTTGCTTGTCTCTAATCAGTAGAAAACTATTTATTTTAAAATTTATTAAGTAAACCTTTAAAGCTTAACTTAACATGCTCTAAATCTAAAACTACTACGTATCTTTAATGGAGGAAGAAGTCTATAATTTGTTTCCAAACAAGATTGTTCGCATCATGGGCTGTAACTATGTAACATCTAACCTCAGTGCTGCTCGAGACAGGTCGCAGAAGTGCACCCGCACCAACAACCCTTGCTTTAGCATTGGCAATAGATGGTAGACGAGACCCAAGAGCAGTGGCAGATCGATAAATGACCTTTAAAACTCTGTTGCGCTCGACTTGATCACGCAGATCATTTGACCAAGAAGATGCCGTTACCTGATGATACAATGGGTTTCATAAGGATTTGCAAATTCTAATTGCTAAAATGAACAGAGCTTAAAATTAAATTGATGTCACCAAGAGACATCCCAGTTCAAATTTTTCTGAGAAGAACAAGAATTACAACACCTCTGAACGAAGATCGTCCACAGAAGCAGCTGAGAATGTAGGAACCAGATCAGAACCATTGATAATTGTAGTGATGAAGTGTTTCCCAGATTCTGCCAACTCCCATGTCATACAGGCAGCTGTAGGCGAGGTAATTGTAATTAAGAACAGAACAATATTCTTCTTTCTCTTTGATAAGGAGTAACATTATTTTTTTCCCCCTTTGATTAAGTAAACAATGAAGGACACATCACATAAGGTATTGATATTTCAGAATCAACACTATATCACCATTTCAATAACAACAACAATAACAAACTAAGTCTTGCTCAATAAATTTGAAATCAATCACGATAATCCTTTTCACCAGTCCATTCAATCCATCATTACATAGGGTGATCCAATGTACTCAAAATGCCTGCAACCAAGTCAAACACACTATTGGAATCACATCGGACCTCGTGAATGATGAAAACTTCTTTAGGTCTACACACGACGTGTACAAACCACCTTAAGTTGTTCTCCCAATCAATTCCAGATGATTCCACATCCACTTGCTGACATGCAATTTTTTTCAATCATATGCATTACATAATCTTCGAGATCCTCTTGTTAATAATTGAAGCTAAATACCTAAAAATTCGTTTTTGGGAACGTGAGAGCTATCATCCTTACTCCCACTAATCACTATAATTAAAAGGGGCATTCCATGTGTTCCATCTGTATTTCTACTTAACTTACAACCTGTAGATTCCAAAGTACTAAAGTTTTAATCTTATGATTTTCATCTTCCTAGTTTCATCTACTAAAACTATGCTGTCAATGAATGTTGTGCACCAAGAGACCTTGTAGGCTCAACTGCAACTAAAGCAAAAAGAACAAGACATAAGGCAGAATATAGGTGCAGGCCCATACTAATAGTAAAATAACTACTACCACCGCCACTACTAGTGGCCTGTCATATTCCGTTGGATAATATCATATATTTCCCAATCCAGAGAAGAAGCACATTGCAACATGCCTGGTGCAAAGGTGACACAAGTGCTCAAAGATAATTCTTTCTGTTCTCGAAGGATGTATGTCAGCAGTGCAGCTGTACCACCACCAAGTGAATGCCCAACAATCTGGGAAAAAGATGGGGAGCTTGGTCATGTACACCAACAAAATATATTATATGTATATATGCAGTTATGTATAGCAATGAACTTTCAAAAGAACAAAGCTTAAGAAATTTAAATATTTAAAAAGGCATGGAAACTATGCACTTTTAATAAATAATTTTTAGCACCAGATTTCTTTCCATCTCAAATGATGCTGACCAGAAGTGCATTCCATTATATGACAATAACAATTCAGTTGACAAAACCAAGAGCTGGATATACCCAAAAACAGAAACACTTTCGACTTCCCACCCCATCCAAAAGGAAAAAGAAAAAAATTATGAGAAGATATAAGAAATAGTAATACCCAGCAAAGCATCCAGTGATATGTTCAATTTCTACCTTGATTTCATAGTTAGGGTTTTGTTCAAGGGCCTTGAGTAAGAATGGAGTAGTTTGCTTTGCTATCCATCGAGCAGCTGCAACCATCCCACAGTGTGCGTATCCCAAAACCAAATTGCTAATCCCACCATCATGCAAAACTGAATGGTGAAAGGGGACAACTGCACCCGTTGCTGCAGTCAATGTATCTTTAATACTATGAGTGCCACGAATCAGAAGCAGGAAGCACTTTGAATTTTCATCCCGTAAAATGGTAAAAGCAGGTTTCAGAAGCTGTAAAAATAAATATTAGGTATCATAAGCAAGAAAATAAGGAAAAATACTTGGGTTCTCAGTAATGTACAAGAGATAATCATACCCCTGCTTTGGGCTTCTGAAGGAGGACATCTGCTTCAGAGTAGCCAGCAGACTCCAAAAATATTGGAAATGGTTTCTTTGAGAAAAGATAGCAAAAAGTCAACAATTTCAAATAATGATCCAATTGGTCAATGATTACAGGGCCTTTCAGTCGCCTACAATTTTCACCAGCATATACACTTGCAACTTGTAAAGAATCCTGCAAAATCATTATGCTGAATTGCACATCAACTCTTTATCAAAATGTTTGAACTTTGAAAATTAAGGCGTTGTAGACAGAAAACATAACACACGAGATGGTTCATGAAAATTTCAAAGCAAGTGAGGTTTAGTTCATTGAATGCACATATATGAACATACACAAAACCAAACTCTCATCTTAGTTACAATAACATTATTTATAACAATTTAATCATTGGGAGCACAAAAAAGAAAACATTACATTAAGATATACGCATAGACGAATATTCAAGTAACAAAAACTAGAACATTACGTTGCATGTGACAATTTTATTTTCATCCCTTGAAATATAACCATTCTATAATTCACACTTTTCATCACCTTCCAAAGTCCTGCAAATCCTAATTCTTTAAATGCACGAAAATCCTAATTTTCCTCAATTTACTGTTCAAACTGTACAGTATCTTGTAAGCTAATAAAATTTGGAATAAGTGCCATTAATAAACAGACAACAGGACAATGTGCTATCACTTAATTAGGAACGAAAAAGCTATTTTTTTCACAAAATTTGGGAAGAATCATCCGTTCATGAAAAAACTCATAAATTTATGAAGAACAAGCAATCAAAGAGTTCAACTTGATCAACAATCAGGCTCCATAACCGATATACTACATGAATATACCTCACAAAATAGAGAAAAATCAACCAAATCACTAAACAGGTTAAGACAGCTTAAAAAATTAACCTTACTTTTGATAAAGAAATGCATAAAAACAGTAATAACAGAACCAAAACTCTTAAGAAATGAATTAACCTTTCCTAAAAAAATTCCTACCTGCCTTCGAATAAGATAATTAATTCCGAAAGCCAAGTCACCGATCGGCCATTTACCGAGAGTCTCCGAATACGTGAACCTCAGAGTCTCCAAAAGCGTAGAGATCGTCTCGAGCCATGTTGCAGGCGCCTGAGCTGGACGCCGAGCCAGCCGCTTCTTCGCAGATCTACCCTTCGATCTCGAGTACTCACCGCCGACGGAATCTTCCTCTGCTGGGGTCGATGACATCCGCCGGCTCAGCACGTAGTACAGAAGCACCACCGCCCCCGCCGCCGTCGCCATTGTCGTCGCCGCCGCCATCAGATCAAAATACAATTACACTGATCACTACAAATACATATATCTATATGCTATTGATCATCAAAAACAATTTTCATACAACAATTGTAGCTGAAAAAGGTAACAACTTTTGGTAGTGCACACATACACATAAATTTATCGTTGCATTTATGAATGAATTGATTATTCAATTCTGGCATGAAAAATTATAGATAAAAAGTAGGGAGGCAAATAAAAGCTCCACCAAACAAGCACCAAGTATTTTTTGTTATTATTTGGCATGATAAGTCTCTCTTCCTTAAACATGTCTCGTCCGGATTTTGTGCAACTTACCAATAAATGCTAGTCAATTAGCTGAATCCTATAGGTAAACCAACTTTAGGTTATTTTCTAGAATTTATACACATTAAAGTCTTAAATACTTGCTAATCCTAAGCTGGCTGAAGTCAAAATATTATTAATTATCTCTGATTTGACCATGACTTGCATTAATTCAAAATTTTTAGTTGAACTAATGTTAAAATATAGACAAAATATTTGTGGGATTTCATGAATGATGCACAACAATTGAGAATGTGATTGTCTATATGAGATAATTAATCAATTTAATTATAATTTAAGATATTTCTTGTATTTTTAATTTTGTTGATTTTATATAAATTTATATTTGATGTAGTGAAACGGGATGAGAAAATATTTTTAATAAATTCGTTTTAATTTGTGCAGTGCATATTAAAATAGTAATTAAAATGATGTTCTGCTTGATGTTGATATTTTTTTTTCGAAGTATGTCCCTTATAGAAATTAAAATTTAGATTTTTAATCTAAGTTAAAGTTAATAATTAATTTTAAGCACATATTCTATGAGACTAACAGCTTCCTAACCACATATTTCATCAAATTTTTTTTATCAAAATTTACAAAAAATCTGATTTTATTCATCGAAGAGGGCTATATGTCTTATCTTTTTTAATCTTGTCCAGGACAACGAACCGCAAACATTTACCTATGGACAGGTGGTAGGGGGGGAGGGTCTCAAACCCTTAACACCATGGTTCATAACCGTTTACTCTAATCTTCCGAACTACATAGATTAGTACTAAATAGTAGACAATGGTGCTAAGTGGACATAGTTCTCAATATCGATAGGGGACATCATGTGTTTGTTTGTTTTTCGTGTATGATCACGGGGCTATTTTTATAATAGTTTCCGCAGTGAGTGTTCTAATCCTCCTAGCAGAAGAAATGTTGAAGTTGAAGGAATATCATATCCGGGAAGAAAATATTTATCAGCATTATACAGCGAATGAAAAATCTTCGAACCAGTTTCGAAGAGTGTTTAAAAGCCATGCTGCATCAAAGGGCGAATTTCCGGTTTCCAGTGCAAAAACATAATTCCTAATTTTCAATCCATCAGAATATCAGTTCCGGGGCTATTCTCGTCATCTTAGGGCTGAAACCGTAAAGTTTTGTTCTTTATGACCAAAAGAATATCCGTAAATAAGAAGTACGACAACTTAAAAAGTAACTTTTGACGAACCATACTAGAAAATGGTTTAGACCCATAAACAAAGGCCCAAGCAAAATTTGGACTAGAATTGGTGGGTGCGCCAGCCCATGGCAGTAGTGCAACGCCAGGGCGACGCTTGAAAACCCCAATAGCAAGCTATTGTTTTGGGCCTCCCCCTTCAAAAAATAAATTTAATATCGTGTGAACCAATAGCCCACATATCAGATATTAAACTGATAAGAACAGATACTACACTTGATCTTAGCCAAAAGGCCGAGAAATTTGACGAACCATACTAGAAAATGGTTTAGACCCATAAACAAAGGCCCAAGCAAAATTTGGACTAGATTTGGTGGGTGCGCCAGCCCATGGTAGTAGTGCAACGCCAGGGCGACGCTTGAAAACCCCAATAGCAAGCTATTGTTTTGGGCCTCCCCCTTCAAAAAATAAATTTAATATCGTGTGAACCAATGATCCACATATCAGATATTAAACTGATAAGAACAGATACTACACTTGATCTTAGCCAAAAGGCCGAGAAAGGTATGCTTTTAATCAAGTTGGACGGTCCAACTTATACTAAGATGCTCTCTCTTTTGTTATTTAAAGAACCGATGTGGGACAAATGTACAAACCGCCTAAGTAAATGATAATCCGAGATTAAGCATTTAAGTTTATCATAGTTTCTGTAAATCCCAGCTTAATTGAGATTATGAAGCATTTCAACACGTAATGAGTGAATGTTAAATCTGAAAAATTATTCATTAGTTCTTGTCCCCAACGAGAACGTACATCTTTATGTTGAAGAGACTATTCAAGAACGGTTGAATTCCAATCCCACATAAGACTCCCTTTTTTTTTCCTTCAAATGCTAACTTGCCAAGTGTATTCCCTGTTGAAATTCTGTAAAATCTTCCTGTACTCATATCATTGTTCATTCAGGAACGGTTGAATTCCAATCCCATATATAAGACCTTTTTTTTCAATAGTAAAAGAATAACTTATTGCAAAACAGATATGAATATTTCAAATAGACTTGTGCTATACATATAATTATAGCTTATTTTTTCTTGTACAATCTGAAACAATTATTAAATCCAAGATAGGAAGAGAAAAACACACAAAGCTCCACACACACACACACAATGATAGAGAACACACACTGATCAAACTTTATATATTTTGGTATACAGTATTAGAAAGTACTGGCTAGTTCTAATTACTATTCAGTACTATCTAGTCGAGCATACCAAATTGTACTGCAAAACAACTCAATTGTAAGCATGGGGATTTGCATGGAGGTAACCCTCAATAGCTTTGAACATGGCATGTGCCCTTTCTTTTCCTTCCTTGATCTTCTCTTCAGCAATTTCCTTAAGTCCTTTGGTGTGGTAGGTGCTTTTGGTTTTGCATACAGACCCTCCATCGGCCGCAGATTCGATTTTGACATCGTAAGAGATTTTCTCAAGGTCGCCAGCTTCAAGAACATCTCCTTCGATGATGCTGTAGTTGTACGTGTAGTTGGCTTCATCAATCCCGTCAACACGGTGCTTCACACTCTTGTATTGGCTGCCTGCATATAGAATGAGAAAATTACTTCAACCATATAACTAACTGATCACATATAGATAATGTTTCATACAAAAGTCATATGTACGGTTTGGACCCGTTCTAAAAAATTCGAGGTATTTCGAAATTCTTATTCTACGTATTCTAAGAGTATAGCGATTATAGGTCACAAAAATTTATTAGAATACATCACAATCATACATATACCATCGGTTGACAGTCAATTCCAGATTTTTTTCTTCGTATGCTGTGGTTCTCAAAAAGAGAATATAAAGGTTAAAGATAAGGTCTAAAATTCAAACATCATCATACATTTTATTTTCAACTAAAGCATTTTAACGTTAAAAAATTTAGGATCAACGTTATATATTTTACATTTAATATTGAATAAAATTCAATATTCCAGTGTTGTATATCCCCTTACCAAATCAAATCATCGAAAAGAGGAAAAACAACCGTACCTTCACCAAAAGTGACCAGCTTGACGGTGCCGACTCCACCATTGCCTTCGAGGATCTCGACATTCTTAATGGCCTGTGGCAAAACCTTGGGGACGAGGTTATCAGCATCAACAACGAAGGCCTTGAACATCTTGCTTGGTGGGATTGAAGATGTGATTTCATGGTCATAAGTGATCACACCCATGATTAACTCGGATTACTTTCTTGAAAAAATAAAGAGGGAATGCAAATAGGGTTCTTGTTTAGTGAACAAGTTTTTGTGTGCAAAAATATGAGTAACAATGGCCCAATTTATAGTGGAATTTCCAAAGGTTGTCTTAACAACATTTTGTTACTTTTCTTCTTTAGTACCAAAAAATGGACCTAGAAAATAGCATGTCAATTGAAAAGTAGTAATATCATGTGGGAAAGCTTGGAATTTAGCATGCATGTCATGGGTATACCAGTTCCACTTGTCTGACCTTTTTACATTGAATCTCACCTAATATACCATGCAAAGACTAAGATTTTTCAAAAATAAATTTAAAGTTGAATTTAATTTAATTTAATTTTTTATTAAAATATGAAGTCATGTAAACCTTCTTAAGTAAAATTAGTTATGTAAATGTTCCTAAGTAAACGCGTTTACTTTTAATTTACGTCGCTTTCATATAGATGTGGAGGTAATTTCTTTTAACACTTATTTTTATGAGTTCGTATTCAATTGACAACGTTGTTCTATATTTTTAGGGGGGCATTTAATTATCACTTAATAGCGTATTTTATTGTACTTAAAAGTTACGTTTTTAGAAGATAAGGAAAGTAACTATAAAAATTAAGTTTAAAATTTAGTAACTTGAACAAGTTTCATTATTTATTCCATCGCGAGTTATTTTTTTTTATTATCATAATAAAATAAAAATCTTAGATTAGAAAATTTTCAACTTTATCGGCGGCTCTTCAAATTTTCCTTTCAGTCATTTTCTTCATTCTCTCTTCCATTTTTGTCATCCACGTCAAATTATTTCGATTTTAGTGTTTCAACTTTTACTCAAATGCATATTAGTCCCCCATACTTACATTCATTGGTTAATTGATCCTTCTTCTTTTTTTTTTCCTCAATTGCTTAGAAACAGGTCCAAAACTGAAATAAGATAAAAATAACCTAAGTTAAGTAAAATGCAATAATAAAATGACACAAAAGCTTAGTACTATGGTCCCGAATAAGTGCACAAAAATGCACTTATCAACGCATCTTTAATTATTTTCGATATCTGTTTGAACTATTCAATATGTCTATAATGTAATCCTCGAAATGAGTTTTGAGATGACATAAGTCCTTGAAAGTTTGATTAATCACTGAACTTAGCACTTTGTCATGTCGTGGTCACTCAACTTCACTTTGCTTCTCCACAGTCACTGAACTTACAGAGGATCCCCTCCATCCATCACCCACCATCTCCACCGTGTGAAACCGTCTTAC